GAAAGCATCCTGTATCATAACTACATGTGTGCCGTTTGTAACAAACCAAACCGCGTGAAAATCAGTTGAAAATTCAGTGAGTTATTCTATTTTACTTGTGCATACAGCTCCTTCCTCAATAGAAGTGAATGCACTGTGGAGGCGAAGCGAGACCCATCCAAGATGGCGGCGGCGCAGGGCGCGCTCAGGCAGTAGATGCGGCGTCTACGGGTTAATATGCTCATCAACTTCCGGGATAACAGCGTGAGTTTAGAATGTCCACACGTCTTTAAACTACCTGCATGTTCTCGCAACCTTGTTGGATTTTACTGGACACATCAGCGTTGCACGTCATAGCGGTGTCGTGTGAAGACATTGATTAAGAAACCACGTTTGGTCTTATTGTAGTTTCTATGAGAGGATTGGATTAACGGTAGGCTAGCCACAGTGTTAGCACTATCATCTGTCACAGTTCATATTGTTAGCACCAAGTCAGTGTACTTGCACCTTTTGTGTTAAGATAGCCTACCCTTGTTAACAGAGTCCATGTTTTGAAACCACAGTTACTCAGACTCTATTTTCCAACCAACTTACACCCCGTTGCCGACGCTGACGTTTGCAATAACCTGGAAGTAAGCCAAACCTGAAATGACAGATAACTGAATGCAACGTTACTGTATGGTAGACTGTGTTACTGTACTATCACGGTGTCACTTCACTGTACCGTTAAGGTATAAAGCAAGTTACGGCAGCTACCAGAGCACGTGTAGCGTTGTCATTAGTTTCAGGTGTTCGCCATGGGACACTCTAGCCTGGAGAAGATCATTGCACTGCAGAGAAACCCTGCCAACATTAGAAACCTGTGCATTCTGGCTCATGTCGATCACGGTGAGTAGACACGCTGACATATCAGCTTATCAGCAGGAGCGAGCCCTGATTCTGCGCTGATCTTTACGGTAGACCTGATGGTAGTACTTATTTGCCTGTCTAAGGTAGTACTCAGTAGGGGAGACTGGGGACGGTTGCAACACGTTTTACATTTCTCTCAGTTCCTCCGAGACCATTTGGATTATGCTAACCACATTTTTATGTGTGGTAATTACCCAAACCATTTAAACTAGGGATAGGGGGAAAAATTGATACAGCATAGTATGTCAGTATTCTTGTGTGACAATATTGTATGGTCACACAGTGACAAGTATTGATTTTTTAATCATATGAATTATTAATATGACAAATACAAATTAAAATTAGGTAGTCTACTAGAATAATGAAATCAATTGCTTTTTCAGTCCACTAGATACATTTTGCTGTTGCAAAAATGGCTGAAGTGAGATGAACAGACTGAAAACTCTATTATTAAATAAAAAAGATGTCAACAGAGTTTTCCTATGGGGACATAATTTACAGTTAAATAAGTAATATATAGCAATTTTACCGAAATATTCAGCATGTCGCAACATTTAAATCGCAGTAATATTGTCTTCTGACTTAAATATCATGATAATATGGAATAGTGGATCCTCTGGTGATTCTCACCCCTAATTTAAACATGATAACATATGACATTGTTGATAAATATTTATTTGAATGAAAGAAGTCAGGGGTCCGTTTCACAAAGCAGGTTTAGTGAAAACTCAGAGTCTGTTCACCCTGAAATGAGTTTTCCGTTTCAAAAAGGGAGGTAACTCAAACCAGAGAAAGAGGAGTAACTCTAGCCTGTTTCAGAGAGAGGTAACTTAAGCTCTCGGTCAGTTACCGTAGTAACAGACTCTATGAACCTAACCTGGTCGGGACCAGGTTTTTCTCAATGAACCTCGAGTTTCTCTCTGTCTCTGCCCTCTTTCAGAGCCACACACTCCATTTGACTTCCTCATTCATTCAGTCAGCAGGCGAGTTTTGGCGTAGCCGTTCTGCCGTCTGTCTTTTAAAAAAAATCAGAGTAAGTATATTAGAAGTCCATTAGGCACAGTAGGTGGTGACTTTTTTCACTAACATGGCATGTCCTTTTGATAACGATCCTGTGGATGAAGGTGCAGCATTACTGCGCAGAGAATTAAATAATCGTCGGGAGATGGTTATCAGACCGCACATAGATGTTTTAGCATTTCCAGACAATTATCTTTTTGAGCTGTACCGTTTCACGTCACAGTCCATCATCTACATACATAACCTAATCCGCCCTTACATTTGCAACATTACCAATCGTAGTCATGCTCTCACATCCCAGCAGATACTGTGTGCGCTGCGTTTCTTTGCAAATGGAAGTTTTTTGTATAATGTCGGAGATGCTGAGCACTTGAGTAAGGCAACTGTATGCAGGGCGGTCAGAAAAGTGTGCTCGTTTTACGGGCATCTGCCTTCTTTCTGTTGGCTGAGTAGAAGTCTGTTAGTTTAAATAGGCTTAATTATTTAACAGAACATAATATAGATGAGAAGACATTTATGTGTGTGAAAACAGCATTATGTTGGGGATAAAACAACTGCACAGTCAAACAGCCACTTAATATTTACTTTACAATGTAAAACATGATAAAAATGAGGTACCCCCATGAGATTATGCCGAGGTCTTACCTGTTTGAACAATGTTTTTATATTTCATCCTAAACTGCTGCCAAGTGCGCTTCTCCCCTGCAGGATTGCACCTAAATGAAATAAATTAATAGGCTACCATTCAAGCAGTTTTCCCCTGTAATATTATTGTGATTGCAAAGGACTACATTTAAACTTAGCCATTCTCCCACACCGTCTCCCTCTCTTTTGCAGCTGCAGCGGTGTTGCACTTCTTTTTGAAAACGTGTTCAAACTTGCCGTATGAGCGCATTAAGATTTCTAATTCTAGTGGGGTGAAAAACGCAGCCCTCCTCTTCCCCGTTGCCATGGTGACTCGTCGAATCGGGGCTCCATTGATGCTGGCTTTTTATAGTTGTGGTGCACGCGCTTAACTCCAGGTGAAACTACTCCGAGTTGATTAAACTGATTCAAATCAGCTGTTCTGGAACCGGAAACTCAGAGTTTCCTATCTCAGAGTAGATCAACTCAGAGTTCAGGATTAGACTCAGAGTTTGTTGAACCTGCTTTGTGAAACGGACACCAGATGTTGCACCTGACCCCAACTCGAGGAACAGTTGTAACATGTTAAAAATACATTAAATATCATTACTTAACTTTTGTCTCATTAAGCATAGAATGCTGAAAATATGCATTGTTGCAGGGATAGGCTTGTGTCCTTTGTTTATAGGGCTGGGTATCCTCACCGATTCCCTGAATCGATTCAGTTTTGATTCACAATGTCCCAATTGGATTTCTGATTCGACTGGGGATATTTCAGGTACAATACACAATTTTTTTTTAGAATGTGAAAGAGATTCTCAGAGAACTGATACTGTAAATTGTCCAAGGAATTATTTTAAAAAAGAATAAATTCAAACAGGAATAAAGCTGAATATTCTATGACTAAATGTTTCTAGAGCAGCAGCAGTAATATTAAAACAGCAAGTCACAATATAAGCTCAGTATCTCACTGGAAATAAATCTAAAATGTAAATAAAATAAATGATAATCCTGACATCACAATTTAGAAAGAATAAAGAACACAGACATCAGTAAGTATTAATCCGTCCTCCTGTCCTCTGTGCTCGTCCTTCTGCTGCTGGGGAGATTCACTGCCTTAAGGTCACATTACCACAGGTACGTTTTAAGACTGGTGGCAAACTAAACTAAACCGTGAGACATATATATATTGTTGCTAATATGTTGTTGTTTCAGCTTGTTCGTAACAGTTTGCTATTAGCTGGAAAGGGCTCTGTGCTTTTTTATAACATAATATTAGCAGCACTGAACAAGAGACTTTGGACAGCAGATTATCAATACACCTGTTCAGCAACATGGAAACATGTAGAAAAGTGATATTTTAAAGTACAAACGTTTTCCTTGTGGAGGTTTTATTGCACTCACAGTAACAAGCATAGTCGTCAGCTCAAATTATCTTCACTTCTCTGTCTCCACCGCCAGGAAGAGAGTCTCCATCTCCTCTCAGTGTTTGTGTATCTGTGTGTGCGTAAAAGGGGCGCAGCAGGAGGCTGCTGCAGCATGATAATAAATTACACCAAAACATATCCAAGTAAGCTAACAGTTACAGATAAAAGAGCTGGTAATGTCAGAGCTTGTCAGTACTATGGACGTTAATAACTACTGGCGACATTAACGGGGTTAAAGCTTCACACATCTGTAGGAAAAAGCACATATTAAAAGACTGATGTTGGATTTTATGAATTGATATTGGGTCATTCAAAAGACGATTGATTTGAATTGGATGAATCGATTATTTTATCCCATCTCTTTTTGTTTATAGCCTAGGTTAGCTTTTTACTTATGGTGATTGCATTTAGACTTCAGTAATTATGAAAGTGGTGTTCATTTGTGAAGATTATCTTGTTGAACAAAACGTTTAAGTATAATGTTTGTTTGCCACAGAATTTATCTTCTGCAATAATCCAGAATCTAATGGAAAAATTCAATTGGCTTTGTGATGAGGGAACCAGTAAGATGGTAACTTCTGTGTCAGCCAACAGAAAAACATCATTCCAGGAGCACTCTATATTTATTGATTTAGTAATATCGATCACTTAGTTCGATTACTGAGTTTTGTTGTTCGCCCTCACTTTTGGTACTCTGAAAATCAAACAGAATACAATTGCTACTTTTAGATGATTTATTCAGTGAATAATAAAGAAAAATGGCTTAATATTTACTAATGGATCATTACAATAATTAGGTTACGTTAATATGAAATTAACTTAGCAAGTTTTGATTAATTCATACAAAAGTCAGGACAGTATAAGAAAAAAACTGCTCTTGAAAAAAACTTACTCTCATACCTCCAAAACATTTTTATTACAATAAATGCAGCAGCATTGAATGTTGATATGTCTTCTGTCTCCCCGATGGGGGAGAGGGTCGAACTGAGCATGTGCAGTATGAGTGTCATCACTCTGATTGGAGAATAAGAGCTGTTGCAACCGTCACATGTTGCAGCTGTCTCCAGTCTTCCCTGCTTCTCCTTAGTAAAATTGACATGACAGACAACACACATTTACATAAAGTTTCAGCTTTAATAACTTTTGCATTGTCAGTTTCCCAATCATACAGGTGCAACCACTGACTGTTAACAGTTTTTCAGATATATGCAGGTACACTGTACAACAAAAACATTTGTAGTTATTATTATTGTTATTGATAAAAAAACTTGAAATGTAGAGAAATTAGACTTAATTTAAATTTAACTTAATCTATGGATACAGTTATCACAGCATCATTATCTCCACATAAACAAGACAGACTTAAGATCCTTTAAATGTATGCATGTCACATTGAGTCCAGTGCTTTCAACTGTTTTGTTTGAACATGATGTCATTGATTAGGAGAAAAAATATTATGATCACTGTGAAGAAATTATTATGATAGTTCTAATTATGATTTCATCTATTGATATATCGTTTAGTATATAAAATGTCAAAGTAGTAAAGAACAAACAAACAAACAAAAAGAGTTGACATTACAATTTCCCACAGCTGAAGTTAAAGAATAGCTTGAGCATTTTTCATTATGTAAAAGTGTAAGCATATAGGGTAATTGAACACCATCGCTGTATGTCCATCATAAGTGGTTATTTTGGTGGATGGAGCGGCTCAGATTGTTGTTTTAACTGTCTGAACTGTCTCTCTTGATCCAACCTGTTTGCTATTGGGTCATCAAGCAGAGGTCTGGTTCTGAAATCTCACAAGATGTCACTTGTTACTGGAGAGGTGTGTGATATTTGGAAAGAGTATGATAACAAGAGTAGTTTAGTGTTATCCAAAAGATTTTTACTGTCATGGATGATAATT